TTCATGTTGTGTTCTAAAGGTTAGGCATAAAACTTTTTTTGTATTTTACAAATGAGTGTATGACTTCAGTTTCAATTGAAACTTTGGAAGATTAAGATGTATTTTATTCCTTTACGTGATTAGAGATCTTGCAACCACCATCATAACATCTCCATAATGTTATCTTTTGTTTCTCCTAACCAAATAGCATCAAAAGGAACTAGTGCTTATATTGTGTAACTTTTGTTTGTGGAAGAGAGGAGAATCTGCTTGGCAACATAATCTCAAGTTATGGGAGTTTTTGCTATGGACTTCAGTGGAAATGGCTTTGCCATACTTGAAGTTCCTAGTGAGAAGAGGTGGCCCATGATTAAAACATTAATTTATCCTAATTGAGCCCTGTCCTGAAAATGGACCTGGAAAGCATACTTTACAATAAGCTCTTAAAGCATGTTAACTACTATTTGATGTTCATTACTGTAACCATTTACGCAATAGTTGTGGCGGGGCGGGGGAGAAGCCTTGACTTTGCATGTTTGGAAGTCTTTGGGATTCTGGTGTACATGAAGAGTTAGAGAGGGGAAAACCGACTGCTACGTGAGTGAGAAATAGCATGCTTCCTTTTCAGAAAGGGATGAGGATTGGCACTTCCTTTTTATTTGATTGTGTAAATAACTTACTAAGTTGGCTTTTCACCCCGACTTAAATACTAATGTGACTTTAATCAAATACTTTATTTCAGTTTTAAAAAAAATGAAGAAAATGCCAAGCCACCTGGTGAAATAAAGAAAAAGGTTGATTTTAAGGTATAACATGTTAACGTTACTTCGATTGAATTTCATTTGGAAAAGCTTATTGCAGATAATAGATCTACCCTAGTGATACCTTACTGTATGTTGAAAATCTTACTGAAGGGGATAGAAATTTAACAAACTGCAGTCAAGATTAGGGCAACAGTGTTCGTAAGTGCCTGCTACTGATTTAAACTATAGTTTTTTAATAAGTGTAAAATATGGATTTCAGTTTTGCTGGATCCTATTTAGAACAAAATCATATGCTGTAGGTGTCCCATTATAAAAATTCTAAGGTCAAAATGCCAAATTTAGAAATATTACCCATAGCTGTCCTTTTATCGGTATGCTAACCCCTGTTAGTTCAGATATTTAGCTAGTGTTTGGGGCTTTGTGGGTAGGTTCTGTTGGATAAAGTTTATTTTAAGGTATTTCTTTAATGCAGTCCTCTTTAGAAGTGTATCAAAGATAATACAGCTGAATTTTGAGGCAATCTCTTGCCTTGCATTTCCAAGTGTTTCTAGGCAGCACTTTTATATCATAAATTTCTTTCTTTTGGTTTTCTCTTTAGTTCGTGCTTTCATGTTGCAGTAATATAGCTAAACCGCTTTTTAGTTTTACTCTGAAATTCTCAAAAGTGGCTAAATTTCACTGTCAGAAGTGACTTGGGCACTTTTTATGAGCTGGATCTCCCTGAAAATGAACTTAAACGCATGTGGAAAATTTTTCCATAAATGATTTTAAGGAGTTTGTTCCCTGAACAGCAACAAGAGGGTAATATTTAGAATACCCTAATTAAATAAACAATTTTCATTTCTAAATAGGGTAACTTATCTCCTGTGGATGTTGTCAGAACAGAAGGTAATATAAAGAAAATTATGTTTTCAGACCTGCAAGATCTAGGGCTCAAAAAAGCTATGGAAATACAGGTATTTTCTTTCATTGCTGTCTGTGTTAAATGGTGACATTAGTGTGGGGAGGAGGGGGGAGAATCTTGGTACACTTAATTGTTAATCTCTTTCTAAGTATAATGCCTTTCCTGGCCAGGTCAGTTTCTTTCAGTCTGTGCTTCAGTTTCTTCACCTATAAAATGTGGCTAGTGATATCTGCCCATCTTG